TCTTAAGAACTTAATGTTCCTCCAAATGTTCCTATGGAAGCAGCATTAAACATGCATGCAACAGAAAGACGGAAGAGGCAAGTTGTAAGACCAAGTCATGTTACTGAAAGACAAGCTCTCATAAAAAATGTGGTCGGTGATTTATCTTTTTTTACGCTACACATTTAATGATCAAATTAAAATATCTTATCCAAAAATCAAATTATTTTTATTTTTGTAATGGGTAAAGGGGCATAACCAGCATTTACCCATGATAACTATTTTTTGCAGACAGTACATGCAGTATCTCACATCGGCGGAACCAAAATATGCTGCACTACAATAATCGATCCAAAAAGTCTGTTTGCACATATTATTTATCTTAATATTTTAGTTTTCGAGAATTTTTCCATAATATATTAACTTAAAATTCTTACATAATTTCAGGATTATTTTAATCAATTCTCGATGATTTGGTAGTGCAATAAGTAATGATAGTAGCATTCAGCATCCCATCAATTTGCTGAATGACACTTACTTTACAATACAATAAATGATTATGTGGTGAATTCACTGGCGGTTGTGTCTGAATTTTTCTTTGAAAAATATTCCTTCCATTTGTAGGCTATCCTTTTCTATAGGTCGCTCTTTCTGTTTCAGACAGTAAATGTCGGAGCCAACCAGACCGGACCACTGTATTTAATAGACATCATGGGAATGATCGGCCGAAATGAAGGTTCTCCAATGAAAAAAATTAACCATTTTTGTGTGCCAAATTATCTTTACCAAGCTCGACATCTAATGTTTTCAGTATGCTCTTAACATATGAGCAAAATATATTATCATGGGACGACTTATTACATAGCTGCCCTTTTTCCATATCCTTACATATCTTCAAAACCGCATGCCGTAAGTCTAGAAAGTTATTAAATTTTTAGTAAGCCAAATGTAGCCCCTCTTGCTTTTTTTTCAATTTATTCGTTCGCTCCGTTCTCTTGTATTATAAATAATATTACAAGATTTGTTTTACAGGTTTACTAGCTTACGATCGTCAAGGAAAGCTTTACGATTAGTAACTAAAAAGCTTTTTCAGCTGTTAAGCTTACACCAAATGCAATTTGACGAGTTTGCAACAGTTGGGGCGCCAAGTTTCCCAGAACGATACGTATACAAAATATCGTGTAATATTAGCATAATAAATATAAGTGCGTCATGATCTGCCAACTTTTTCTAAGCTTCTCCCTTGCGTGGCTTCTTTTAAAATGCCGACAAAACTTGGCATATGAAATACCTAACGTGGACATGGAAATGTTGAACGAACGCGGTTTTGAGGTTTCCATACCTGGTATGTGGTGCGAATAACTTCAAGGTCAATATTGTGATGATAATGATTATAGATGAGCCAGGCATGCAACGCGTTTTTTATATGCTGCAAGTGGATGGCAGATGTCCGGCTCTAATGGACTACATAACGCAAGCCGCCAATGGGAGCTGGACTAGCAAACAAAATATTGGCCTGCAAAACAACGATAAATTACAAATCTCTGTATTGGTGCAATACAATGATTTAATATATGAGAAGAGCGAGACGCGGGTAATACTCAACACTCGCCTGCTTACCACACAACAAAGCATCTCGCGGATCATCAGCAATCGCACCAACGCGGAAGAGTGCCAGGTAAATCTCAGCTCAGAAAAACCGCTTAAGCATTGCAAGCCAGCTAGCAGCATTGTGAGTAATAGTCAAGGAACCTGTAAGGGCGAGCTGCTCTTTGAGGACAACTTCAGTGGGGCACAGCTGAATCGCAGCGTTTGGATGCATGACATACGTCAGCGCATGTACCATGAGGAAGAGGAGCTGGTGGCATTTGATGACTCGCCGCGCTATTCGTATGTGCGGGAGGGACACCTACATATTGTGCCAAAAGTAGCCAGCGAAGTGACACAGGGCGTCTACCAGCTAGGCGATCGATGTACAGCTGTTGACAGTCCGGAGCTCGAGTGCAGCATTGCCAAGAGTAGCTTCTATAAAATCAAGCCTCCTGTATATTCGGCTCAACTACATACACGCCAGACCTTTAGCTTTAAATATGGCAAAATTGTGGTGCGCGCCAAGCTGCCAAAAGGCGATTGGCTGTTTCCATGTAAGTGGTTTGACTTAAGCAAGGAAGCACAAGGTTTATTACCAATATCAATCCACAGATGTGATGCTGCAACCAGTCTCGACACATGCGGAAACCCATTATGCCAATCAACTTCGTAAGTAACGGAATTCTTCATATAACTAGTTCTTAATGCCTTATTATATATAGTATTAAGAAATGCTCCGGTTTCCACCTTAGGTTTGCATTTTCCGTATTTATCGATAGCCCCCGAATTAATTTTCAAATATTACCGTTTTCACAGAAACTGGAGTACCGCTGATAAAATTGATTTGAAGAATTTTATATAGGCACAGCTTACATTTGCAAACCTCCCATTTGATGATTCCATAAAAAATAAAGCTTCTGCATTAAATAAAACTCTTTTTGGCTTGTTGTAGACATTCATCTACCACAAGTTGAATTTGTCCTCCTATTAGGGCCTAGATTAATTGACTATTTTTGGGACTCTTAAAAAAGTTACAATGATTATAATTTCTAATTTCATTTTAAAATTAGCGCTTGCATTTTCTATCCACTGTATTATATTGACTCTTTCTATATTTTTTATAATGTCTACAAATTAACTATCATTAAAATGAAAATGTTAGAAATTTTGATGAGGCTCAAACATTATTTAACTTATTGTCCATTTCAGTTCGATATTGAAAATTTAAAGATCAGAGCCAACAAATTTCAAGCGTGCAACAGTGTATATTAATAGGTACTTATGTTAAGTATTAGGGGAATACATGGCATACAAAAACGGCTTTTTATATTGCAACTAAAACTGTAATTAATAAATGAAATGCATTCTAAACAATTCCAGGCATTGCTTATGCTCGTGGTAATGCTCACTTGCGCAGCATTAAGCAGGAAGACATATCGGGCAATCGGTTATATGGTGGCATGATCGTTTGGCAAAAACAGGAAGCGGTACAATTGATTAAGGAACGATTGAATGCAAAGCACTATGGTGATGACTTCCACAATTATACAATGATCTGGCAACGGGACAAGCTAACACTTATGGTGGATGATGAGATTTACGGAGAGATCTACGATGGCTTGCCGTTTTTTAATGAGAAGTGTTTCATAATTTTTGGCGTTACAGTGGGCGGATTTCTCAATTTCGATGATAATATTTTAATGAACGATGTAAAGCCATACAAGAATCAACAGCCCCGCGCCGCCCTTTCGTTTTGGCAAAGTCGTGATACCTGGGCTTCTACTTGGGGAAAAAGCAGCGCGATGATTATCGATTATGTGCGTGTTTATGCCGATTAGAAGCCATACATTAAATTAACAATGTTAATTTAACTATCGTTAAATAGTTTATATGAATGTATTTGTGTACATGTGTATTATTGTGGATAACATAACTGTGGACTCGTTAATGTATTTCGGAAACATTAAATTTAAAATTAATGATAAAAAAATGATTTTCCGGAGAAAATAATATATAAAATATATATTCATTTGAGCTCATTTATATTTGTCTTTATGGGTGGATTTTCAAAGGTCGCTGAAACATGTACTTAGTAATCTTTACCTACAGCTTCAAATATATGATTCAGATCGATCGCACAAAATTTGAAACCAATGTGAACTAGTTCCAGTACCTTCTGGTTCCATAAACTAAACCTTAATAAGTTGTAGCGATTATTGCATCCCTGCTTTTTATCGCCAATTCCGTTTATGTCGATGTTTCGTTAAAGAATGTCCGTGCTCTGCTCGTACGGCTGCCCATTAATTTGTTAATACGGTGAATATAATATCTAAGTGTGATTTAAAACGTTTACACTACATAACCATGAATGTTAGGCACAAGAGAAAGCAACAATGTAAACAAAAACCTTTGATTGGTGTATTTGTGTTTGTGTCGTCTGCGTGTACAGCGAAACTAAGGCAGAAGCAAGGGAATTTTTTTATTCGCTTATAACCAACGAGAATAAATGTTTTTCTTGCTTTCAGCGCATAGATTGAAGATACTTACTTAGCTTAAGCCAAAAGTTGATACTTTCACATCAGCAGGACATGGATATACTGGACATCGACGAAGCATTAAAGGATGATTCATACATGTATGTAGTAACATTTCCAATTGCTTTTGCCGTTGGTTCATATGCTAAAAATACCTAAGGCCTGTTTTCTTTGAAATGACAGTTTTCTGGCAGATAAAACGCACGATGATATCTCAAACATTCTTCAACAGTGGAAAACAAATAATCAACAGCAGTCGCAGATGCAGCCGCAACTGCATTCGCAGCCAAACAATGAACAAGGTAGGTACATGCATCATACATGTATGTATGTCAGTCATAGGTCATATAGACACAGGCACATAAATGCCTCTAGAGCTCTATAAAACACATTCGCTAGTGGGTTAAATAGACGGCAACAATGTTGAATGCTTTTCTGGTGAGTGTAGGCGGGCAAGCCGCTTACTGACCCGTACCCTTGGGTATACTTGTTTGTTTTACCCATATTTGGCCAATGTTATTGTAGACAGGAATTAACGCACGTTAATATCTACATTAACTAATAAAACATTTATGCGTGGATTTATTATGGCCATGATTTAAATTGATTATTCGGCCGACAAGAAACAATATAAATATATTGTGCATATTAAACAATTAAACATACAGTTTCGCCAATTCATTCAATAATTTATAATCTGAAACAATGGAAATTGACAAAAATCGGAGTATCCCTAGGCAGCCGTCTATTTAACGGCATATTGAACTATGCTAACTCTCCCACAAAAGTTTATTTTTAGTATAGGTCATGCGCATATATGTTAATTCAATTTTTGATTGGCATTTAAAATTTTCCGTTTTGTAAATTTTTTGCATTATGCGAAAAGTGTGAATGGCATTTGCTAGTTTGATAGCAATTTTTTAAGGCGCGCAGTTAGCCAACACTGTTTAGATGCCAATGTCGTGTAACTGTAAAATTCTGCATATGGCGAAAGAGTGGCATTTTTAGTTAAATATCGCAGTTCTGAAAATGAGTGTTTTCCAAAAGTTAGAGGAAAACGGCCTTAGAAATGGTCGTCGGATCAATATGAAGACTCGAACACCAGTTAATATATTAAAAGCTAGCAACAGAAACCTCGGAAGCAGCAAATTCAAGGAATACGTTGGTGTGTGGATTGGCGATTTAACTCCCGTTCATTTGTGCAACGTGCTAGATAAATACGTGCAAGAGCACGATACAAAACCCAAAATGATAAATGTCACTGGCTGGTTTACAGTGACTATATCCAATTGCATGGACTTACCAGATAGCTCCATTATGCTGGCTTTGAAATACGCCATGATGCCACTCAAAGTGCAGCTGTATAATTTCAAACGCAGCCACGGCGGTGACTGCGGTCAATTCCTTGTAGATACTGTCCTGATGGCCAATCGTTTGAAGCGACTCAGCGGCAAAGTCTCTGTGCTGTTCAGTAGCCAAATTATCAATATAATTGTGGAACAGGGTATGCCTTCAAATATGTTAACGATGTCGCAATTTACGCCCGAACTACTAGTCGCCATACGGACGGCGCTTTTTGCCTGTTATGAAGCTGATAGTGCTACTCTGAATCTGTCTCGATTTCATGCCGTCGCTGAGCTCGAGGGTCACTTTTGTCCACTGCATGTTTTGCCAATGCTGCAGCAAGTGCTGTTTATGATATCCCAACAGTTTCCGCTGTTGCGGATTCTTCAATTACGCGACAATTTTTTGTGTACACTGCGCGCCTTTAATGGGTTTTCACGTGCTAATATGCCTGCGCTTCAAAATTTGGATGTAAGCGCTAATCAAATTCAAGACTTAATGGAGCTTAAAAATTTACGAAACCTGGATTTGCAGACTTTGAAGATTGCAGGCAATCCGCTAGCCAAATACCAACCGTGGCAGCTGAACGCAATGTTGCCACAAGGGGTACACATCTGTGGCTACAGCCAAAAACTACAATCTCAAGAATTGATAAGAGCGCCATCCCCATCAGCACAAGGTGCTTATAGCATTAATTGTGAAGGCTTCACATTTTGCGCTGGGTTCGCCAAAGTCTACTATAACATATTTGATGAGACAAGCCGTCGTCCGGAACTAGACATTTATTATGATGCTAAGGCCCTGTTCTCGTTTTCCGCCCCTACGGAGCTGACGCAGTCATTGCAGTGCAACAGCTCTTATAGACTGTTCAATCGAAATCACCTCCACTTGCGGTCATCATTTGCGCGCTGTGGCAAAATGCGTGTCGGCGGTAAGAATGTGGTCCAAACAATTTGCAAACTTCCTGATATGCAGACAAGCATCGAGGAAGCGCGGCTGGAGGTACACATTTACAACAATAAATTGCGCGCCTTTACATTAACCGGTAGCTGCAGTGAGCTGACAACCAACAACGACTGGCAAAGGCGTATATATTCGCGAAGTTTTGTAATGCGCCCGGATGTGCCGCCAAGATGGGTTATTACTAACGATATGCTGAACATCACATTGGGTGCCAAGCAAGAAGTCAGGTGCAAGCGGATCTTGGTACCTCCTCAGGCCATGGAAGCTCCATTAGCCAGCCAACATAGGCAAGGACTTGACAAGTCCTGCAACATTGATGACCAATTAGAAGAAATTAGTAATGGCATGCCAAAACTGGCTATCGAGCCCAAAAAATCATTTAAACCTAAAGCTGTGCTGCCAAGTTTTGAAGAGATGCCGCAATTAGTGACGCAAGCTTCCGTTGATGAGAACATTAAGCTAGAGCGGGAAGTCGATGATACGCTCTTGTGCTCCGAGGATGAAATGTTGCTGGTGATCAGTGACGATGTGCTTTAAATCTTTTATACAAATGCATAGTTGTTAAAAAAATTACTACACTCACATACACACCCAGCACAACCATTTTTTTTTCTTATGAATAAGTCATTTAAAACTAATATATATGTATATATATTATATGTCAAGCATACAAACTTAATTCGAAGACGTTTACGAGACCCAAACGCAGATCACAGGCGGCGGCAAATCTGGAGACACAATTCGTAAGTCCAACATCATTTCAATATATATTATTAGAAAAAAGAATTATCTTCGGAGTACCGAAGGGGAGATATTAACTATAGACGAGCCATATCAGATAAGTGTAAAGAGCATTAATTAGTCTCACTTTAAAATCTGTCTTTTGTTTTACTTAACTGATCTTTAATGTAGAAGCAATAATATGCTAAAGATTGTAATTTATAAATATATCAAAAGTTAGAGAATATTGAGTTTCGTAGTTGCAGATATTCGATTGAAAGTCAGTTGCATAATTAAATTTTTTGATTTTATTATTTGTTGCATAATCAGTAATTTATATTAGTTTGATTTATGGACACAAGATATTAATGAAAATTACCAAAGAGTTTGAAAGCATAGAAAATTCTGAAATGGAAAGACATAGCTGTAATCGGCATCTAATTTTCAGATGATTCGATTGGAGGTCAGCTGCAGACGGAATGTTTCTGAGATTAAGAATTCTGGCTTCTAAGATATTCTATGCTTGCCATAATCTGCTGCTAGGCAGTGACCTGTGCGTTTCTAGTCTGCAGAGCAATCCAGTAGATATTTTGAATGTGTCCGCTCATTCTGCTCTTTCTTATCTTGTACTTGAATCACAGGAACTGGAACGTCACAGGAACGTCCATCTTGTATAAACTTAATTAGACTATTTAATTGCTCTCGGATTGAAAATGCTTGAAAATCATTTCGTCTGCTGGGAGCAAGAATATGAAATGTCCGTCTTAAGCAGACATAACTGATGTTATTGCAGTGGACTTTAGTCCACGATACGCTCTCATGGCATCATCTGGGTTATCTATGGGAATTTTATATAAATAACTATTCTATCTTTTGAGATGACGTTATATCAGGACGGTTTGATGACATTATCAAACGTGGCAATCAGATTTTCGTTTTCTTTGTCTGATATACTGGATAACATCCTTAATGATGCTTTAGCGTGAACTGAAATTACAGATTTTCCAACTCTGAATCAAAATTAATTTATTATCAATTTATATTTTTCGTTGATATTAATACAATGAATAATATATTTAATCAATAGTTCTATTAAGAATGAAAAAATCTCATAACAGATTTTCATTATTTTTATTTCCAAGCTTACTCGGTCTTTACTTCTTTCTGCTGATAGCAAAACGCGGAAATTTATCTTTCTATAGCTGGTGTCACAAAATTTGTCATCCAAACTTTTGAAAACTTGCTTTTTACTCTGAGTCACCATCCTTATAATGAAAACAGTGTTTTTCGCAAATTTATTTGTTAAAAAAGGTCTTTGATAAAGAGGCGGAGAAGGCTATATCGACTAAGCTTTAGAATGCATGTCTGGTTGGAGATTCTATCCCCAATGTGTTACGAATTTCGTTAGTTCTGTTAGAGTATACAAAGTGGCATATGAATCGAAACGTTTTCTTTATTTATCTTTATTTTTTTGCAGACGCATGTGTCCCAAACACAAAATAATACATCGCCCACGACAAATTCAGGATCGCTGATGCTTAGTCTAGAAATTGGAGGACTTGTAACCAACATGCATAAATCCTTTCTGCAGGACACTTCTCCACCATCGTCTATCTGTACATCTATAAGCAACGGATGCATGAATAGTTCACTTATCAGCTCCGCTGATTTTACAAATCTTAACTTTCTGCAATCGATTAACAGTCTGGAACCAACGGAGTCGGATCCAGCAGATCATAATCTGACAACGACGGCAACGCTGATCAATGAGGGGGGCTACACGCTGAGCGACATGATAAGGGACCGCAAAGTTCTTGAATCACTGAGCATGTCTGGTGATGGCACGTTAATTAAGGATTCACATATTGGCCAGATCGATGACATATCATTGACGACGCTAAGCAAAACTGCTTCCGGTTGCAGCACAATGGATAACAGCACAGACAGTGTGTCCATGCCAAATGAAATCCAGGTGCAAGCACAAGCACATGCACATGCCCAGCCGCAGTTGTGCACAACTATGGTGTTGAGTGAGGAGATGATTGGCGATACCACATTCAGTCTGGTAGACAGCTTAACATCGCGTACAACCACAGAATCGATGTGTGAGGGGGAGACAACTTCCACGTTTAAACGACCAACGGCCATAAACACTGCAGTGTTAAATGAAACACAGCTCCTTGCAGGGCGACAGATTAACAGCACCTTCACTGAAAACTGTCATACGCCCGAGGCAGCCCGCTGTGATACACCTGAGAATCTTGAAAACAAATTGCCATCTGTCCAAATGCAATCCACACCCCTGACCACAGCAAGTGGTCGTTCTCAATACAAAAGCAACAATAATAATAATAGCAATAAGCCGCTAAGCTATACGCCTACACTGAAAGGTCGTGACGAAGTAATAAACATATCTCCGATTGTGGATAGCACTACGCCTTACAAAAGCCGACAACAGCTCAACCACACCTATGAACCACCAACAGCAATATTAAAGGATCTTCAGCTTGAGGTGGCGCCTGACAGTTTTGACAGCCAACAGTTTGTGGCAAATACAATGCAGTTGCTCGAGCAAATCGAACAGCCTACCTTAGATGCAACCTACAAAAAGTCGGAAGAGCATAGGCAAATGCAGTGTGTCATGGATCTGGCCGAGGCTGAGGTGGAGCTGCTCGCTCAACAGGGTGATGAAGAGCAATTTGAGCATATGCTGGCCGAGCTTGGAAAAGTAAATGCTCTTAATGCAGAGCAGCTGAAAATGCAAAAATCACTGGACAGTATAAAGCGTCGTTTTCATAAAGATGAGGAGCCTTACATTCAGCCTGACCAGCAGCAGCAGATAGTGGATCTACAGCATGTTACGCCCCCATCGTCGCAGTCACAATTAACAAGCAGTCATAGTCAATCTTCCAGCAGCAGTGAGCGACTGCTCAGCCGACGTAGTCGCCTCTATGACGATGTCAATTTGACCGCAATGCATAACAGCGATACCAGCAATGCCAGTTGCAATTCTACTTCGTTCATTGTTCATCGACGAGAAGAGGAGCCAACCAAAAAAACCGAGGTCTACACCCCACTTCATGAGACGGACAAGCAGGAAGCGGACATGGAAGTGGAAAAACAGGAGGCTGTAGACTCCAAGTCTTCCAGCTACAAGGTCACAGGGCGACGTAATAGAGATCGAGAACGGTTCAAAACTATCAAAATAACTAAAGAAATGCGTGCACGCGACGAGGAGCTGGGAAACATTGTTGTGCCTTGTATTGATGATGAAGAGCCGCAGAATGAACCATTGGATACAGTAAAATCTGAGGATCGACAGGAGTCATTTCATAGACGTCTTTCACGACTCGATCAGACATCTCTCAGCAACATAAACGATGTGGACAACAATACCGTCTCCGGCAGTAATTACTTGACTTACAAGAAGCCAAAGGAGAAATCGTTGCTGATGCATCAACAGCAGCATCAGCAGCCCCAACCAGCATTAGCCGAATCGGGCCAGAATGCACGGCCACAGCCGCGCTCGCTATCTCGACCGCGGTACATCAGCGGCTTGCAAAAGCTCAGTACTGTGAGCAAAGCAACTTCCGCTGGCGCTGGTCTAAACGCAACAACATTAGCAAACTCAAATGCAACAACGACAGAATCTGTGCCAAAAGCTAGTGACTTTGAAGGGCTAAAAAGTCCAATGGGCATTAAGTCGAAATCATTTCACAATTTGTCCTCAAACATTAGCGGGCTTGTGAGTGCTGGCGGTACTGTAGATGCGTTGGCGCCTCGACCTAGTTTGGGTGGCGCCTTGAGACGACCCAGCGTCCAAGTAAGCAAGCTGACAAATCTGTTTCGAGCAACCCAACAGCACGAGGTATGTAAAATAAGAAAGTATAAATTTTAAAAGAAATGAACATAGAAATCATTTAGCAGGATGGAGGTTCCGTATTTAAAGTGCCCAAGTTAGTCAGCGGATTACGTGCACCGACGAATGCGGCTGTTAAGCGAACTGTGGGCAATGGACTCGCCCGACCTTCGTCCGGATATTATAGTCTGAGCGTGAAAGCAGCTGGGGAATCTGAAACACCCGAGGTGATTTGTCAATTTAAATCAACATGTCTCTAAATATTAATATATTATTGGTTACAGAGCCTGTCTTCTGCATCGTCGCGTGGCAGCCTGTATGGCAAGGACACAAAACCAAACGACCCTTTTGATACACAGGCGCTTAGCTTGAAGCTCACACAGGTGACAACCGGTGCAACGGGCATACCTAAGCCATCGGGTCTGCGGCAACCGACACAAATGAAACGCAGTGGATTGCCGCGACCATCAAGCATACTAAGGCGTTGACCCACATGAAAACTACAACGACCACTCAACCAGAAGACTAATATAGAAGATATGACCAGAGAAAACAGAAAAGTGCTTCGTTTATCCAATTTTGTTTTCTTTACTCGCTTTGTTATGTGCGTTACTTATTTCAAACTCCCTCTCTATAAAGAATTTGTTGCCGTACTGTCCATTCGATTTAGCATTTATTTAATGCATTCATTAGTTGAAAGCAACCTCGACTTATGTAAACGCGCCAATATCGAATAAAAAACACACACTATGCCTTAACGAAAAACGGAGATAACTCCATGTGAATCGTATAGTAATGAAACGAAAACTATTGCTGTATATTTTTGTAAAACACGCAAAAATAATTATATTAACGTTAATTGTTGTAGTTGAGCGCTGCAAATAAGGAGATCGAATAATAAAATTATCTATATGTATAAATAATCCTATCATTAATTGAACCGTATGATTATATCCCTATTCCTGCTCAGTGGCTAGACCACAAAAACAAACAACAAAAATGTAGCATCTACATGATAAGTCTATTAACTATAATAAAACCTGTTACCAGTCTAAATACACTTATAAAATTTACATTACGTAATCAGCATATATGAAGGGATCAAATATCCGACCATTTAATTTGTTTTTGGATCGATCGTATAGGTAACAAAACAATCTTTCGATTGCTGGTAACCGCTAGCAATATGCTCGCAGGCATCTAAAAGATACTCTGATACATATAAGTGTTGTAAGACATTAAATTTTCGAACGATCGTTACAAGGCTCTAGATATCTTATAAAAATGGTGATATGAAAATAAAATGATTTGAATCTTACCAACTCCGGCATATGCAAGCATTAAAACTAGAAGCTGAACTTAAGGACTGGTTTGCGCTGGATATATCGACATAGCATATATACAAAGATTGTTTAAGGATAATATATTTTTTTTGTTTTCACTTATAGCTTTGCCTTCCGAATATACACCATTTATCAATGTTGCGGGTACTTAGAAATCCTTTTTGAGAGAGCTTGAGTGAAGTTTTAGGTGAGTCAGAAATTATGCGTAGAATTATGCTCCGATGGGAAAATTGTAAGTGGCGTGATTTTTAGGGTGAATTGCTTATGTCTAACAAAACGGGACAGTTTAATCCTAACCAATGCCGATACCCTTATACTTGATATACACTTCATAAAGTCATGTCCATCCTATTCCCGAGTGATGACGGGCGTAGAAAAGAAAACTTTTTGAAAAATGTTCCGTCTTAGGTGGAACTGAAAAAGCCGCTAGGTCAGCACCGCGTGCTGCGGCAACACACTGCGATTCAGTCCACGATTATCTTTGGGGACAGGTGGATGAGAGGTCCTCAGACATCGAATCAGGATTAATAGGTCCTTAAGCGTGATGAGGCATCCATCGTGAACACTCAGTCTTTCGGTATGACGGATCAGCTGAAATAGTAAAATCTAAAGCCCTGTGATAAGACATAGAAACGCAAAAATAAGCTTTTTAAGGGCTTGATCGCCAAAACGATTAGATAATCCGAGGCATTAAAGATCGCCAAGTGAATTCTAAATTATTGTTAAATATCTTTGTCAAAATTCATTTCAAACGATTTTCACGATATCCACCGCTATAGGGTACAAAATGCGGGTAAAATGTTCAATTAACTATGGTTTTTTTTTTGAGGTCAAGATTCTCTCCATAAACTAACAGGCAAAAACCGTAGATTCCAACATTTGGTTCGGCATTTGATGGACTTTAAACAAATTTCAAATAGGATTTTTAGCACAAGACATTTCATGGTGAAGCCGGATAATTCCCACTAGCATCTTTATTATTACATCTAAAGTTCAATTAAGTCGACCCTATTTTATGTTCATGACCTAAACTAAACAATTACCAAACATAATTAATGTATTCGATATTTTTGTATTTTTTGTATGATCAGTAATTTATATTAGTTTGATTTATGTACACAGGGTATTTATGGGAATCAACAGAAAGTATAAAAGCATAAAAAATTCTGTAATGGAAAGACAAAGCTGCAATCGGCAGCTAATTTGTAAGTTGAGATACATAGTAAATATTTGCTTTGCATTTTTGAATACCGAGAATTTAGCAGAAAATGCGACAACAGGAATGTTGTGGTTAATGTTGCAGTTTTTGTTGTTCTGGCTTTTGTTGTTGCTTAGAAGGATCATGCTGAAGCACCTGGTCCTTAGATTGCTGTTGCTGTTGCTGAACTGGTAACTGTTGGTTTTGCTGAGGCGAAGGCGACTGATTGTTGATTTGTTGATGCGCTTGTTGCTGGGCGGGCTGCTGTTGTTGTGGCGCAGGCACTTGCCCTGGTTGGACAGCCGGTTGAACAGGCTGATATACAGGCTGCTGTTGCTGTTGCGCAGGCACTTGCCCTGGTTGGACAGCCGGTTGCACTGGCTGATATACAGGCTGCTGTTGTGAAGGTTGCTGTTGGCTAGGTTGCTGATAGATTAGCGGCTGCTGTTGCTGCTGATACGCTTGCTGGTGTTCTGGTATCTGTCCAGCATGCTGATACACTTGATCGGGATTCAATTGAACGGGCTGTGGCTGCCCATACTGCTGCTGTTGGTATTGTTGGCCATGATTCTGTTGCTGTTGGGCATATTGTTGTTGCTGATGTTCATACTGTTGCTGCTGCTGCGCGTGCAACTGATTTGGTTGCTGGTAATGTAGTTGAGCACCTTGGGATGGCGCGTGATAGGTCACACCACTTGGTGGTGGCACTGCATAATAACCTTGAGGCATATTGGGATGTGGGGGAAGTTGACCTTGAGCAATCATGCGCTGCACTTCCTCCTGACGTCGTCGTTCAAACTCCAAATACTCCTCATGTGAAAACTGCGGCTGTTGATCAATCGTTTCCCACTCAGGATCCTTTTGAAACTCCTCTTTTGCAGTTTGCTGCATGAACTCATCTATACTGATAAGGCCATCATGATTGGTGTCCGTTTCCTAGTTTATAGATATATATTAACATTAACATGCCACACTTTTTTTAAAATATATAAATTATAAGCCTACCTGAAAGTAATGTTCCCGCATGCGCTCCATTTCTTCGGCCCGCTCGCGCATATCATCCTCGGGCAAATTGCTTTGGTAGACTTTGTCTAACTCCTTTACAAAAAGTGCCTTTACCTCGGCCTCGTCCCAAAAGCCGTTGCTATCAACGTCATGAATTGAGAAAAATGTTTTTGGATTAAAATCGTCTCTGTCCATGTGATCTTGTTTCTCCCAGACTTCTTCCAGTTGGGCTTTGTTGCCTGGATGATGCACTTTCTCGTGCTGTTTGTGCTTTTTTTCCTTTTCCTTTAATTCTTCTTCGAATTTCTTGCGAGAGGCCTCATCCATTTCTTTTTTTTGGGCCTCCCGCTCAAATTCCTTTTGCATTTCATATTCTTTGAACTCGCCGCGTCGCTTTCGATCCGCTTCAGCCAAATCGTCAGACGTTTTTTGTATTAGTTTTCGCAAATCTTCGATTTCGAAAGTATGCTCATTGCCATGATCCAAATGCTGTGGTACTTTTAAATGTTTGCGGTCAATGTCATTGCTAAGCTCAAACTCTTGGTTGGCCAATTCACGCAAACGCTCCAACTCCCGTCGTTTTATCTCGTCTAGTTTTGTACGCACATGATGATTCACATAGTCCAGTTCTTGTGCGATTTTTCCACTCTAGATAATTTGGAATTATTTCAAATTGAGGGTAATTACACAAACAGCCGTCATTCACAAAAAAAACTTACACGTATATCGGCCTCAGGTGCTTTGTCCAGCTTCTTCCTAAACTCTGGATCGGCTTCGAGTGCCTCTACCACCTCGCGCAAATAGCGCTCATATTCCAGCGCAGCCTCTACGTCCGCCGGACCTGGTGTACTGCTTGGATCCTTGCTCTTATCCTCCTTTTTATTCTGCGTGACAGGCAAAGCTACAACTAAAGATGCAGCTAGAGCAAGCGCCAGCACGACTTCTGCCAGGGTACGTTTCATAATTACACGTGCTGCAAGTCTCTACTTCTAAATGGTTTTCAATGAAGAAAAACAGTTGTGTAAATAACTTTACAAAATAAGTGTATTCTGACGTGTCTGTCTCGAATGATCCGTGCCTTGGTATTGTTTTGTCACTGGGTGTTACCAGATGGCTTTACTAGTTTACATGTTTCTAATACCACTGCATCCAAAAATATCGATAAGACTCAAAAGGTGTCTTCACTATGAAAGCATTCACTTTTACATCCAAGCAGCTGTTGAAAGACAATATTAAGTGAATTGTATTGCTATTTAACGAATGAAGTTGATATTGATAATTTACAACTAATAATATTCTTACTTATTATGATTATTACTATTATTATTGTTATTATTATTACCATTATGATTATTATTTTTATTATTATTATTATTATTTCTATTATTATTATTTTAAAACCTTTGTAAAAAGTAAACCGACTTTATCATGAAATGTGTAACACATAGAATGAGGCATCTCCGACCCAATAAAGTATATATTCTTGAAAAGCAGCAACAGCCGTTTGTATACCCATGTTCGTTTGTCCATCTGTCTGCTTCGATGCGTTAATTTCTTAGGCTTAGGGCTATCGTCATGAAACGTTGAATAGGTCCGTTTTTCTGGTGCGTCTTTTTCGATTTGGGTCAAACTTTCCAGAATAAGTAATGTTTTTGAAACCAATATCTCCGTATAAGAATAATAAAAGAATGGAGAATATATAATACTTTAATTAATTGCCCGTCCGAAAAAGCCGAAATTCATAAATTAAATCAACGTTAAGTGTCCGATGTTAATTTGACGCACAGCATTTGTGTTGCCCTGGTTGGAACAATTGTCCAAATAGAACCAGCTCAATTTAATGAGCGACTGTTTTTTGTTTACTTCTAATGAAGAACAGTCCTGTGCTATCAGCTGATAAGAATAATAGACAAAGCTTTAAAATTTCAAATAATGGCAAACAGCGCAGCTGCAGCCGGCCGTGCTGCAATCAAGAAAAAGGTGCTGAGCAGCGGAGAATACGCACGCATTTGTCAATTTATCAATGAATTTAGCGGCGGCTTGCCGATGGACTGCGAGTTGGAAATGGTAAATCGAGTTTTCACTGACATTGAGCCACTAGCCCTGATCTGCATACTGCAAACAGAGTTATTTAACATTGCGCGGGGTCAGCATTGGCGACATGAAACCCGCTCCAAAAAGCTGTTAAAAACGTACGTAAAAATATGTATATTGCTTTGAAGGCTATCTATATACCTAATCTCGTTTAGCTATGAAGATCAGTGTCACTTGTACAATGATAATACTCTTGTGATTCGCATTGCTTGTGCGGAGAACATGAGTCCCGTTGCGCTATGTCGGCTGCTTCTGCAAGAGAAATACGAGCTGAAGCAAAAACCTCTAATTTCCCGGTTGCTAAAGCACCCTCATTTGATTAATGATTCACGCCTGGCCGCCAACGTACAACAGTGTTTATACAGCGACAATCAGGAGGGGCCTATCACGGATCTACGACGACGGATAATTGGCGAAGAGTACGAACTGAAGCTGAAACGACTGGCTAAAGAAGCGGGCATATATTTCTATGATGAGCAAGATTTGCGACGTATGGGATATGACAAGACGCCCGATATCAAGTTGATATTGCCATTTATCTACAAGGGGCTTGTAGTGAATTGGATAGAGAGCAAGGCAAATTTCGGTGATCCCAAGAGTCACAAATGGAACATACAGCAGCAACTGCTGAGCTACTGCAACCGGTAAGTCCTTGGTATTGCTCGCTTAATCGCATTTAATACATTAATTTATTTCTGTTCAGTTTTGGACATGGCATCATTATCTATTGGTTTGGCTATCACGAAGAAACCCCACAGTTGCCGGATAATAATATTGGTATAACAGTGCTAGCAGATTTTCCTGCGCGGAAAGATTTAGTTTTTATGCAGTTGCCAGAGTAAGCGCCCGCTGCGAGCAATACAGACATTTCTGTGGGTTAGCCTTTAAAATATTCCACTTAGCCCCATGATATACTGTTATTTAACAGTATTTTTTTTCTTGTATTTATAAATTTGCATTTACATAAATTCTTTTTGATTTTTACAAAGTACAAAAACACATTTTTTTTTTTGCATATATGTATAAAACTAGAAAGTTTAATAATTGCCCTAGAACCCAAGTGCAGTTTTCTAATAATTATTTTGACAAAGTAAAATATTTATTTGAAAGCAAATCAAATGTATATAGTTTTTAAAGATTAGCTGGCGCCCGAGCTTGCATTTTATTTCAAAATATTGATTGTTTGAATTTTTATTGTTGCAATTTTTTCGTACTGGTAGGCAACTCGTCGTTTAGTTGATGACATTTTATACTTGTCATTCTTATTATTGACCCGCACCCGTACCTTACAAGTCTTTTAGCTCCTCGGGCATGTCGTTTTTGGGATGCTTGTTCTCAAAATGCTGCTTGTAAGTCTTGGGATCCGGCATTTGTGACTGTGTAAAAGATTTGTTGTGTTAATTAACTCAATTTTAAATATATTTAGTATACTTTGCATGCTTCTTACTTTGCACAGGACGCAAACATGAACCAGTGCTTTTTGGGCCGCCTTCTTTTGATCGTTGGCACTATGACCCTGCTGTTTCTTCATCTTTGCTTGCTTCTCAGCGGCTTTTGCTTGCGATTGTATTTTCTGATGACCGCGTGCCATTTCAAAGCTGTTGCTTTATTTAACCCTGCAAAGACAATAGTTTATATAAACTCAAGTGCTGCAATTATTGGTTAAACATCAACAGTAATTCAATTTTTTTTTGGTTTTTATTTTCCTTAATTAACGATGCTGGTTCGTCTCAACTGTGTGCACTGCACTGCAGGAACAAACGCAGACAGTTGGCATTTGGCAATCGCAGCAGCAATAGCGATACAGCCTGTACTTTCTCTTTCGCTTCGATGAGGGAATATGGATGTTGTGGCAAAACGTGTTGTTGCTATTTAATGATTATTTACGATTTATAAAAATCAACTGCAAGACGTTATCAGAAAGATATTGCCGCGAGCATGTCTTGGCCACCACCCCCAACCATATTTATTAACACGTTTCTGCAAAATCAGCGACCACGTTCTATATGCTCACCTAATTATAAATTTGGTAGTGCGTTCTGCGCCAAATGCAATTGATGGCAAACTTATAAATTTGTGAAATTTACAAACTAGGCTTTTTTGATACCCGAAATTATTGACACTTGTTTAGAGTTTAATTTCCGTAGCGTAGTTTGTTTTTTTTTATGGTATTACGAATTGTGACCCCTGCTTTTGTTGTGTTAAGTGTTGTGTAGCGATTTATCGGTTTAATGCAACGATTAGTTGGCCTTCCACCACAAGTTATCGGACTTATGATAACATATCGGTATTCTACAGACGATGGCTTATCTTATTATTAAACTGCACTGAATGTTTCTTTCAAATATGAGAAGCACATTTTATTGCTTTTAAATATGCCATCATATGCATATACACACTTATTTTGTACAAATAATAATGATTCAAACAAATGTTATAGTTAATAATTGGGGTATTCCGGCTCCGTGAGTATAAGCGCAGAATATCGCATTTATATACCCTATACCAAATGTATGTAACAGACAGCAGTAGGCATCTCCGAAATAGCTGAGCCGATATAGCCATGTTCGCCTGTTTGTCCGTTCGCCCGTTTGTATGGATGCGTCGAACAGACAGGGCCTTCAAATTTTGAATGTATGTATGTTGGTCTCCATATGGCCGCGACAGATTGAGTTTATTTCGAATGAATTGCCTCGCATACATAAATAAATCGATAAAAATCTCATATTATTTAAGACTCTGTATGGCTGCTGCTATGGCTGCTCTACCCGGGAGTGACCGACTAGGAGGTACACTTAACCTTCTCTAAAACAATTGAGAGGCTCTAGTCGGATGTGCCTGACTAAGCGCTTTTCTACCACCACCAAATGCAGTTTAATTTCGATGCCAAAAAAAAAAAAAAAAACAAAAACTAAATTAGCAGAACAAACACGAATGCTGCCAATTAGGCATTTTATTAGACCACTATATCAGATAGTTGCTATACGAACTATCAGTCGAACAGTTGGTTGTGGTTTATACTGTTTTTGGGTTCAATGAGATATCTAGAGCAAACCCGGCTTTACTAATAAAATTAACATGCTTATCAATACCGCAGTACTCTTTTATATATCTGTATATATATATCTATATATATATTTGAAGAATTGGTCCAAGCCTCAGTTTTTATATAGAACAATTGTCCGTTCCTCAAGATATTTTCACCAAACTCACAATGGTCAACATTTACGTTCAGACATAATGTTGCGATTAATCACGCATGACTGTGAAATGCAACGTGACTGGCGGTGCGAAAGACTATGAACTATGTCATCAGTGAGAAGATTATTAAGAGAAAATTCAAAGAAAGACGCATGTCAACCATTTTCAAAATGAAGTTGAAATAATTTCAGGTTCTCTTGTATTTTTAATATAATATATTTATTTAACTCGGGCAAAGCCGGGTAATTTCATTTGGCCATACTTACATGTATGTATGCTTCTAAAAAAAGCTTTATTGGTAAAAACTTAACAAGGTATAAAAAGTTAGACTAACATGCTGGCATTATTGTCGCAAAACTCGTAAATATTGTCAACGAACTGCATTTCATGTGGAACAGCTTGAGCAACTTGAACTGTCTCCTTATCCTCTCCCAACGTCATTCGCTTAAGGTTGTTTATCAGCGAAATGTCCTGTTTTATCTCGTTTTTTAGCTCGAGAAGCTCGTGCTCCGTTCTTATAATATCCTCCGCATAGGCTTCAATATTTTGCTGCAGCTGACTCACGGAAAGGTCAATTTCCCTACATCTATACCGCTCGTTTTGCAGTTTAAACTGCCTGCACTTGTCGGTTAGCTGGCGCGTCAGATTGTATTCTCTTTCGTATCTCATATTCATCTCTGCGTGCAGCGCAGCCAGTTTGTTGCGCAAGCTATTGCGCAACGGCGCATCCTTGCGGCGCCGTCTAATGCAATGGTTGCTGACAAATTTGTCGGAGGTGGTTATTTTTTCGCGGTTGTTTTTTCGATGTTTTGTCGCCAGCTCGCAGCTGTTTAACTGGGCCTTGACATTGCGGTTGTAGTTCTCGTAATGCTGATCGGGAAGTATGACCAAAAGCACTTCGTCGAGCATTTCATTTCGCAGTTTTCTTTTTGGTGGCAACCAGTTTTCCCTGATTTGATTGGCCACTTTGGCTGATGTTTTTTTTGCATAGGTTTTGTGTTTTTTATTGCTGCCAAAGTGTAAAAGTCTTTTCAGCCACTTGAGCATTGAAAATCCGGTAGAGGCGGATGGAGTTATTTCCCCATACTGAGGTGGCAACGATTCCTTGAGCTGTTGACGTTGCTTGAGCGACAGACACAACTATAAAGAGAAATACTTAGTAAATGTAAGTGAAAATATAAGTCGCAAATATATTTTAGGCGCTCTATAATAATTACAATGCTATTAACCCAAAAAAGCTCCACAAAATTAATAATTACTTTGAATAGAGAGAGAGGGCACAATCAACTAAATTACCCGCCAGCCAGAAAAAAAAAAAAACAAATAAAAAACATTACCTTTAATATTAAAATCGATAGGTAAGTTTTGTTTTGACTAACGATGCATAATCAAGTGAAATACCATTTAACTGATACCTATGTACATATACATATATATATGAGAAAACATACCATATACCTCATAGTACATGGAGTATAGTTAAGTGACCAACGGTCGGGAGGGGTTCGCTTCTAAGCACCTAATTCGCATTTTCAGTCGCGTGCAGCGCCAGACGGGCGGGCAGACACGAAGCAAAACAAAAAACGCTTATTATGCAATCACTGTCGACTTTTGTTCCTGCATTTGGGCCTAGTTTTTGCACGGCATGTGGCCAGGATATGATGCTTGTGCGCAGGGGGGGTTAGGGTGAAGTGTGGGTTTATCGCATATTACCTCATTGTGCACACGGCTCCAAGCGCGCCAAACAGGTAAAATGGCCATGTTGCCATCGTAGCTGCGCTCGATACCACGCCAACGTTCCGTTATAACGAAATCGTTGTAGTCACGCAATGCTGCTCCTGAGCCATGGTCGCCATCTTGTTTTTTGGGGGACAGCGCAAACGTAACGAAAATAAAAAGCCACAATAAATATTTGTTAAAACACACACTAATAAGAGTACTCTGGTCGGAAGTGCCCGACTAGGAGATGCCCTGTACCGAGCACTTAACTGGCTTACCTTCACATACACTTACTTACGTCTATACATACACAAAAATAACACACAAATGCACAAAACTTGAAATGTGCCTATAAATAGTCCCGCGGTCGGACGGACGGACGGACGGACGGACGGACGGACGGACGGATGGAGAGACAGGGCACCCGATCGTATTGGCTGTTATGCTGCCTTCTGGACGTTACATAATTGGGCTCTAGATTGGTATGTACAAATATTAACTTACCCGGCTTATTGTTGATGTTGCTGTTATTGTTGTTGCACTGCTCGTCGTCTATCAGCGCTTTAATGATATCATTACAAGTGGTCTTGTTGGTTACACCCGATACATAACGTAGTTCATTATGGTTCAGCCAAATGGGTAACTCCTTATCACACTGTTCCTGTTTGCGCAGATAGATAATGCATTGGTTTATTAGTCAAACACCATTTTGAAACAGAAACAAAACAAATATTCTGAAAAAGCGTATTTTATTCGAGATTGACCCATTCGGATTATGTAAAGGGATCTCAGTATCAGGCAAGCGTTGATGCTCGTTGCATTTACAGATCAATACTATTAGTTAGCTCTACTGCATCTTTTCAAATAGGTAGTGAAACCAATTTTTAAAGTTCAAGTACAGACGATCCAACGATATATACGCTATCTTAGAAGTAGGGTACTATGTAGAAAGGCCTGGAAGGAGGCATATCTGACTCGACAGTGTTTACTCAGTATCAGAGACGAGGGGATATAGCCGTTAGAATTGATTTCACGGATCCCATTGATTATATCAGCTACTATAAAAGTTCCGTAGCTTTTGCATAGTTATTAAATTCTCACAAAGATTGGAATGCAAACGATAAAACGTTGCGAGCGAGCAGGATATCTTCTAGTCGAGCACTCTCTAATAGACCACTCTCTATGGTTATTATGCTTAACTTTGATTAAGGCCTGCAAGTTTCAATGGACTTACTAAAACTCCTTTTGATAGTGGTATTATTATATGTATACAATGTATTATATACGAATCGCAAGAAATAATATTTCCTAGTCATTGGAGTGTCAGGCCAATAACCAGGAAGACTGATTCAAGTTCAAGGCTATTAAATGCTTTAAATTGACAATCTTACTGGCTTAAATTAATAATATTGTGTTAACTATATCAACTAGGAGTAAGATATTTTGTTGGCAGGGTCAAAAACTCAATTGAGATTTATAATCCACCGAATTCAACTGTTTATCTTTCTTGTACGGTTCTTCTTGTGGTCAAAATGAACAATCTCCAAATACCACTGTCACTCTGTAAACATTGACACGGCACAAAAGTCGACGCGGCTCTTTTCCGCTCACCTCACGAAATATTATTTATCCGGATGACTAGAAAGTAGCCAAAGCCAAAAGGAACAGAACTGTACTCGATTCCGCTAGCCACCCAAAAAGGAGTATTGTTTGACTTGACAGCAAGCTCAGGACCTCGTATTTACGTACTTACCACGGTGCTATTAGCGCCACATAGGGATACGAAACGATGGCGATGACGTCTACTGGTGACCATGTGCTGGCCATTTCCATTTCCATTTCCGTTTGCCATGTTGCCGTGTTTATTTTGGCCCCGTTGTGTGGGCGGTGGGGCATCGATGAATGCGTTGGGTGCTGTCACCTTGGCATCTATCAAAAGATTAGCACTTGGCTTCTTGGGGTGGGTGCTGTCTTGATTTTGGCGACGATGACGATTTTTGGGCGGCAGTATTGGGCTATCAGGAAAATTCAAAAGCGGCGTACAAGACTCAGGATTATTATCGATGAATGTTGAATTTTGTTGTTGCTGTTGTTGTTGTTGTTGTTGCTGTTGTTGTTGTACCGCCATTTTGGTAAAATCGGCCCACTAATTGGTACTGGAATGGAAAATAGCAGGTAAAAGCTAATTGTAATTATAGGTGTTTATATATGTGTAAATGTGTATTTTTGTTCATATGCATGTATATTGGGCTTGATTTTTTTAAGCACGCAAAACTTGTGTTGGTGGTGGTTGGTTCTATGGAAGCCCACGACTAACAATCCATTAAGATTTGTTGGTAGCGATTAAACAAATTATGCATGAGTTTCACATTGCATGGCATTGCCATTGCCTACCAACTTATGGGCGGTGGTTCAATAAACACCACAACAAAATCCACCTGCCCAGCCAATTGCCTTACGTCAATTCCTGGAAAACTATTCAGCAGCTTTGTGACCATCTTTTGCATGCTAGACTTTTCTGTGCCTCCGCTGCGGCGCATAATTTCTTTCTGGCTGTACATAAATTCCATTTTGTAGATTAGGTGTCTGTTTGCGTTGAAACATTATTTTCTTTTTTTTTTTTGTAGCCATTTTCACAATTTCTTATGGATATATGGATATATTGATATTGATATATCCTGATCAATATTTTTATGTATGAACTATTTGAAATCAGCGATTATTTCTTTCCTGCATACTGCATAATATAAGAAATTTATTATTGCTCTGCAGGAATTCAAAATTTTAATAATAAATAATACATTGTCTTTCATATATCTTTTAGAATGTTAAAATAAAATAATGTTCATCCACTGATATTATGTTCTACTAAACATTTCTATAAGCATACATGACCCAATAATTATTTTTCTTCTGGACTGCCAGATAACATTTCTGCTTTTTAAGTAAACCATGTTTGTTCTACACATGTCTTCTATCATCTGTCATCTGTCTTTTTCTATGCAAGATAGGCGTTAGATTTATGAAAGTTTTATGATGTAACAGGCTGTACCAAAGTCTGAATAGGCTATCAAATAGCTGTAATAGGAATGATCTGCCGAACAAAATATGTCGATACAACCATATACTAATATGCTCCCATATCAACGAAATCTTACTAGCATCGGATCACTATACACCTGCCCCACTCACGATCGGTCAAAAATTAAGTTATTGTATGAAAAAGCTTATTGATTTTCAAGGTATTTTATGAAATTGGTCTTCATGATACCTTTTTCGAAATTTAGTTATTATGAGCTCTAGAATTCTTCTTGCGCGTCTGCAAATTGCTAGCCGTATATCTGAAAAGGCATTTAATGTACGGCGTGCCGAAGATAGTCATACTTTCTTGTTTTCGCCTGCTTTTAATGGTTCGATTACCAATAAGTAAGAGGTTCGACACGGGAGCTCCCGACTAGGGGGTACCCTGAACACTCTTATTTCAACACCAAATGCAGTTCGCGCAACGCGCTCGTTTGAAGTAATAAACATAAATAAGAACTGGGGACTCTACTCAACAGCAACACTATGCTATGCCTCTACTAAACAAGCACACCAAATATTGTATATTATTAAGAAAAAAAAACGAATTAAAATAGCAACACAGAAAATAATCGCAATTGCTACGCTGTAAATATAATTTAAAGCAGACGAGCATGAATGTGTGTGTGTGTACATGTATACAAAAAATCTTGGAATTTGCGCCCCATTCAGTTCCGCAGCATAACTTTGGTTTTTTCCTAACCGATCTTAAAGAAAGTTTCTACAGCATATCTTATTGTACCATAGAATATTTGTGTATTCTCAAAAAGTCAATTGCAATATTAGTTGGCTGTTGATGCTATTGATGCTGATCAAGAATATATATACTTTACGCGGTCGGAGATGCTTCCATCTGCCTGTTATATACATTTACACAATCATTATACCCTTTTACCCATTTTCAATGGGTTCAGGGTATAAAAATACATATGTTCCATTTGCACTTGACCGACGACAGCAAAAAAAAAAAAACAATCTACGCCCGTCGATCGGTCGTGAAGCATTTCCCTAAATGGCTTTCAGGCGGAATGAGGCACTGCATTTCATATGCAGGGACACGCCCATGCCATCGCACCCCCTGTTCCCCACCAGGCATCCGTTCATGTCAATTCAGTCTTTGATTACCTCAGGGGCTACACATGCAAACATTCATTTAAAAAATATGAAGTTTTCAATCATGATAAGTTAAAATGGCAGACCCTCGGACAACTTTGCAGAACAATTATCTGAACGCGTGGCTCTGACGTTTTAAGTGCAACTAATTCTTGTAAGTATATAAACCCTTATGCGGGATGATTGCCTATGATTAATAAATGCATAGTATAGTGGCTGAAAGAAACTCAGATACTAATACTTTAGTTCAGGGCCTTATTGTTCTATCTTTTTGCTTGCTTTTAACTTATAATTAACTAGCTGATATTCTGGTTTCTTCTTCGGTTAGACTTTTTGCTTCGAACTCGTTCAATCAAAAGTATATTTTAACATTTTTTATTTTTTACTTTTTTAATTTTATGTAATTACAATTTTCCATGGACTAAAAGTGAATACAGATTTGATGTTGAAAATTTAAAAATAAACTTGTTTGAAAAAACTTTAATATTTATATTGCATACAACCGTTTTTCGCCAAATCACTGATCATTAAGTTCTTAGTTTGCAGCTGATCGGACCAAATTTAGATGAGCACACAAATCAATTCGGGTTGGAAATTATTTAATATATTTTAAAGTAGGTTTTTCGAAAAGTATGAAATATCTTCAAAATAAGTTTGAACATAGCTCATTGAAAATGAGTTTAAGGTTTGGTAATCAAAAAAGTTTCTACATATGCCAGTGGGATTTTCCAGAACCTGGTCGTGACGTGCACCCTCATTACATAATGCTTCTATAGCACAACTTTCAGCTTTTACGGCGCGCTTATTACAAATCAGTCAATCGGCCAGGACAAAAAACTTGTATTTATAGAGGTTAAATGAAAATATAGCTAATAAGTTATTAGGTGAATATACTCAAATTCGTTAAACTTAAAAATTAAAACCCTAAAAATTTATAATCAAATGGACTGCAAGTTTTGTTCGAACAAGACTGCTAAGTATAATAGCGGAAAGCCACTATTGCCATAGTTCTATTTTTACACAATTCATTACTGCATTCATTGTCCTGTTTTCTTGATGTATTACGGTCGTAAATTGCGTTTTTACTCTAGATAAGATAAGATAAGCACGCCTTATATATAAATCTGAGTATATGGTATCTTATAGGAGTCATTGGAAAATCAGTGGATCTGCGATAGTCTTTGTGTAAACCAGGAAGGAGGACAGATGTTGTAGCGTGTCACGGTAATGTGCAGCCGGGTAAATGATATTTCACTTCCAACTTTGGCATTTCTTAACTCTTAAGCACTCTTAATTGCTTGTAATATGTTTTACACAATTGTTTAGTTTCAGGCTGTCTTGGTCCACACATTACATTTTGGCACCCGCAGAACCACAGAATATTATGTAATCGACTGTGAATTCTCCCAGTGCCAAGATGAAATGGCAGTAGCTCTGCTTTCCGTAGAAGAACACAATATTCTCTGGCGAGTTGATCAAGAGTAGACTTACCATTAGGTAGTTTTTGCTTCTGTTGTTGCTTTATTCGGGTTTTCCTTGCTTGGGTTAATTTTAATAATTGTTTAAATAATATAATATAACTTTTTGTTTTAGTTTGTTTTTCGGTTTTATGGATGGGGATTCACACTTGCTAGCTTAGCTGGTGACCAGCTGCCGCTGCCGAGCTAGAGGCACAGGACATGTTAATCCTTTGAGCTTTGACACTTGACTGAAGTTCAAATTTGAATTTGCAGCTACGTAACGTGTTTCTTAACGTCAGCGTCAGCAGCGTCAACGCCAGGCAGCGCTGCCGGAAACTGCTAATATTTCTTCTAGATCTAGACAGGTGCTAGGTGCTAAGCTGCCGTCCTTGTCTGGCTGCAGTCACGGAAGAATGGCCCCAGCATATGTGCAGCTCGTATATATTCAAATAATGCCTAGCACTAGCAGGCGATTCACATACATTCATTGCTGTTGTCGTTGCCAGTGACAACTCGCAGGTCGCGTTCAATGCACAACAAACAAAACTGAACGATGACGTATCCTTGACGACGGCATGTGACTAACTAAAATTTTATTTGCTACCACACAAAACTTTAAAGCAAAACCGGGCAGCTACAAACGCACACGCACACCTGCCACGAACATGCACGCACACACGGACCCACACTCACACGTACATGACACGGCAGAGAGAGGGTCTAGGGGTAGTTAGGTTCTGTTTGCTGCCGTCATCAGCGACTGTTGTTGCTGGCAGTAGCAGCTAACAACTGGTCCGTTGTCGTTTTTTGGCCAACCAGCAGCAACCACCAAGCAAGCGAAGTCGCGTTTTGTCGTATTACCAATTTCCCACTTGCCCTATAGACAGGCGATCCACATGCGACCACTCCCTCAATCCACATTATAGTTCTTTTTTATAGCGTGCTGCTACGGCGACTACTACAACTACAACCCTCCACTCCCTTTGATGTTGTTAGTATTTCTTTTATTCTTTTTTCACCATTACCAATGCTCGGGCGTTATTTGGTAAAACCAGATTGTTGATAAAATGCCACAGTAAGAACAACAATAACTAGCCGTACATAAAATGTGTGTACCTTGCTGGCAGGACCTAATTCTACGACTGGGGTTTTATGTGTATTCTATATTTTATTGTTAGTGGGTAGCATTTGGCTTTAAGCTCGATTTTCTTTTACACTGTAACAATTATATTCATGTTGCCGAAAATTTAATACCCCTGCGTAAATAATACTATGTATTAAACTAATAATAATGACATGTTTATGGGGTTTCGCTAAAGTATAAATAGTATTTTATTACGTTTTTCTTTCAAAACCAATTCTTAAATCAAGGTTGGAAAATGTGCGATTTGTTTAATAGCGGCTTTTTGACTAAGTTCAAAATATCCTGTCAAAAGAGCCTACTCTCGAAATGTGTTTTCATTGAACACCATGGACACCACCGACGAGCAGCATTAAAAAAGCAGACCTGAATATAAATGATAGTTAATTTCATTCAATATGAATCTATGTCTAAGTACGCAAAAAAATATATCTTAAGTCGAATTCTAAATAATGGCAATTTTATGTTTACAGTTTATGTTTAGTACACTATTGATTAACATTTAATTATTATTAGCGAGTATACTGTCAGCACTAATTGGGAGTGCCCGACTAGGAGATATTTTGTTACCCGAAAAATAAGAGCATCCGCGAAGGCGCACGCTGCCGCTGGTTTGATCTGCGCATGCGATATTGGGACCTATCGGATCCTTTTTGCAAATTTTAAATGTGTGTACGGCATAATTAAGAAAAGAGCATCGATTAGATCAACTGATGTTTAGCAGTAATGGAAAATTAGTTGATTTCATTGGAAAGTGCATACGTATTGCTTATTGTTTATTATAACATGCATACTTAGACACCTCTGCATACATGCATTTATATAAACACTACGCAGAAACAAAAACGCTCACTTAGACGTTTAGCTAACAAAATACCCTTTATTTATTATATATGTAATGTAATTTAATGCAATATGTGTATATTTTCAAAACATTGAGGGTATAAAACTAATTGATTTAATCTAGGTTATCAGATATTAAAAAGTTAATGCTCAAATTTAAGTAACATAATCATAATAGCGAACTTTAAGATATGCCAATTGTACCACTCCGAAATATATATGGTCTGTTACATCAAAAAAGAATATGCAAATTTATATTTAACAAAAACTTTGTTATGCTAACGACGATGACAGTCGTCCTGCTTAGCCAGTTTTTGGACTGACACGGCCAGCTGTTTTTTTTTTTTTTAATTTAAATTGATAAAAAAGAGATAATGTAAGTAACAACAAGAAGACGATATCCCCGATCCCGTACGGTATTTAAGGGAACCTTACTTGATAAACCCTTCATAATCACTAATGACAGCAACTTTCTGTAGTCTTGTGTATATGCTGATTATGTATGTATATAGAGGCAGGTTTTTATAAATTAATCAAAATCGGTTGTAAATACCGAAGGCACTCGCGAAATCCTATCCATTATTCTGGAATGAAGAAAAATAAAAAAACAATGCAAATTTTAAATTAAAAGCTATCTTAGCTATTTGGAAAACCTTATTATTAGTAGCTGGAACTTAAGCCAGCTCGGGGTTTAGTTTTTGGGGTAAAATATTGTAAATTGATCGATCTTTTTAATTTCTACGTTCTCGTGTAGTATTTCTCAGGGAATAATTATATTAAAAAAATAACACTAAACATCAGCTTACATTGAATATGCAGATTAGCGGTATATGGACAGTTATAAAAAAATTCTTTTATTTGTTATTATTATTTAAAAAACAAATTAAATAGAAAGGAAGCACCTAATGCCCATTCTTACTGTTCAAAATTATAGCAAATTATGTGAAAAAAGCTCGATCGTATTTAACTTTTTTGCTACTGGATTACCCTCCGATTGGCATTAAACACATTTTCAATGGACTTTAAATGGCATCCTTACGTATTTCTAATAATGTAAGTCTGAATTTCAGCATTGTATAAGAAATCATCAAAAATAAAATGTATATCTCGAAATATTCGGCTACAATTTATCCTATTCATTTGTAAAGTATCGAATTAAATTTTTGCGCCATTAAATGCATATGTATTCAAAGTTATGCACATCCGAATATAATTTACTTCGATCGTGCACATTGCAAATATATCTTCTCTTAATTTTACTGATAGGGTCCCAAAACTTGACGATCTTCTCTAAGAATCCGGACGAAGTATTACGGCCTCATCCACCTCCTGCGTTACAATAGCAAATCGAGAGTTCAAGAAGTAGCAGGTTCAGAGTTACATTTTTAGTGTTTCAGTCTTAAAGTCATCGTAATTACACTAAGAACAGCTGACTTGGTTACCCTTCCAAAGTAGAGCAGCACAAGCATTACAATATTAACATTGTCTACCGATGGCAGTTACTAATTGCAAGGAGGGGTGAACATGTATTACGATTGTGGGTACGAATTTCCAATGCCTGCATTGAGCCTCGTGTCAACTGCGATGCGGCTGCCGCTGTTGTTGCCGCCACGTTGCAGCTGCAGGTGTAGAACTCAACAAGCGTAACGAGGCGAGGCCCAAACCCTCAGGTCGAGTAACAGAGTCCGGTGGATAGGCAGTTGGGCCAGGCACGAGAGGCTGTTGCGCTGGTCAAAACACTTGTCTGCTTGACGAAAAAATGTAGGAACCTGTTTTCGGGCGCGCGGATATTGCAAGCTGCTTGCTTCAGTGGCAACCACTTGACATATGGTTCCTTTGTTAGGGGTTGTTCCGTTAAGATGCCGCCGGCTGCTCGCGTGTGCATTGACCTGAAAATTCGCGCTATCTTTTTGAATACCAAAGCTGAAAGGCAACCGAGACCTTTAATTTGTTTATTTTTTTTTTTTTTGGAACAATCTTTATTAATGCAAGGCTGTTATTGGATTTGGAATGTTCTTGGTGTTGTTTAGTTTTATTTATATTATTTCTTCTTATTTAAACCTGTTTATTAATGTATTTACCTGATGTGTAATTTTCACAAGTTTGCTTAAATTGAGAGTTTAGTGGTTTCAAAATGTTTATCAATTCGCAATCTCAAGGAATATGTACCTAAATTGGGATTCGTATGCAAATTAAATTTTCCAATATAGTACCTTGTAGAGCGAAGGAAGGAGACAACCCCGACCCCATAAAGTGTATATATTCTAAATCAGCATCAACAGCCGAGTTGATATAGTCATATCCCTCTGTCTGTTTCGCCCAGTCTCTCTCTCAGGAACAACTTTCAGCTTATTAAGATATCTTGGCCAATCCCAGAACTTATTAGTCAAACTATAATACTTATCATAATCGTATTAGGACATTATATAACTTTAAAGGAAGAATCTTTCGAAAAATAAGTTGTAAGGCAAAATATTCCGTTTTCCAAGATATCTTTACCAAACTTAGCAGCTATGAGCTTGTTTATTCCAACATATCTGCAAAGCCACACGGAGAATGTCATAAACGGTATTAAATCTTTGACTATAAAAACTAGAGGCTTGAAATTGAAAATATGTGTACTCCTATACCATATGCAGGAGTTTATAGATTTTTATAAATAATATGGACTTAGGCTTATACACCAGACTTATTTTCCCTTTTCATGCCTATTTCCATTCCACGAAAATAGGAAAGAACGCATGTTTAAGGTTATACCCTTGGTCCTTAGGGTATACAAGCTTTTGTATATTATATTCATTTTGTATATTTTGTATATTACATTCGTGCGTTGGAATTTTATCAAAAACGGATAATTAAAACCAAAGCTATTCATGACCCAAGTTTTTTTAGTGTATAGCAGAAATAAACAAGTAAGAGGTTCTAGTTGGGAGTAGGGAATACCCTGAGCCCAGACGCGCGTGAATGGTTGTGTGTACATGTATACAGAAATTCTTAAAGCTGCTGCCCTATCCAATTGCGCAGTTGCATATAACTTTGGTTTTTTCTTAACCGATTTTTATAAAATTTTCTACAGTATATCTTATTGTACCATAGAATATTTGTGTATTTTGAAAAAGTCAATTGCATTTAATTTGTGGCTTGAATTCGTTGGCAACATAAGTTGGGTTATTAACTTGATTTATAGCTGTGTGGTGGTAGCGGGGAGGTGGCGATAGGTATAAAATGAAAGATACTTGACATATATGTAGTATTCTAGAGGCAACATATCATGTTTGGTGAATCTAGCTCTTAATATTTACCCAGTGAGCTTTAAATAGAGGATGTCGATATCGATTTTTATCGATTGCTTGGAAACGAAGTAAGTTATCGATTATCGGAAACAATCTCGATCTGCACTGGCACTAGGAGCACCTACATTTAATAGTCTCTAGCTCTTATAGGTTCTGAGATCCTAGTATTCATAAATACGGACGGACGGACAGAAAGACGGACATGGCTAGATCGACTCGGCTAGTGATGCTGATCATGAATATATATACTTTATGGGGTCGGAGATGCTTTCTTCTACCTGTTACATACATTTGCATTT